ATCACTTTGGTATATATAACCCTATATCTGACTCTTTTAGTTTTAGGACTTACAAACAACCGTTATGTGAACAAAACTATAATACTCTCTTTACCAACTTTGTTGCGAGAGTATAAAAACAGATGAAAACGGGGAAGTGCCGTTTATAAGTTCGATTATAAAAATCAATAAACATAATGTCACCACTAGTAATTTTTTGCATGAGTTCGCCGCAAATGGATCTATAGATAGATAATAAGCTAAATGTTGTAGCGAAATTGTATTTCGACTTTTCAAAAATATTCTTATAACGAAATTTTTTTTTTGTATCCTTAAGATTGGTTATACGAAAGTTTCACTGCGTATGGATATACTCAAATGATAAAACAAATATTGGAGCATTTGAAATAAGGTCATTCAGTGGTCCTAAGGCCAATGCTGTTTTGTGTCTTTTACATTTAATTGTTTCATAAAAAGGTGAAATCAATAAAATTACATCTTATTGAAATGACAAATCTTAATTAATTAATATAAATTATGAAAATTTAATTTAAAGTCGTGTTTGCAGCTCTAGGATATGCATATAAGAAACATACCCACATTCTACCAGAATATTTAATAGAAAAGCAGCTTGTACGCAAGTTCAATCGGTTTTTGTGTAAACTTCAACAACACGCCTTACACAATTAAATTGTAATATTTATACATATAAATTTCCGTTCAATGATTTCTGTGGCAACAAACAAAATGCAGCCGGCAAATAAATGTAATTACAATTTCATAACCACACTTTTAAAAATTGACTGCAGTTTGCCTTGGCATAGAAACCTCCTTTTCGGTTTGTTTTTTGTTTGGAAATTTCAACACTGTGTATTTGCTTGAGTGCAACTGCATGCAACAAATTGCAATTGCTACAGAATATATAAAGTAAAAAAAAAAAAACATAAACAGAAAACAGCTTTGGATTTCTTCTCATATTATATTCTATTACGAATAACAAAACTAAAGAAAATTGTGTAACACATTATTGGTTGTATTATGTATTTCGTGGTGAACATTTTACCTCATTTATTTATTTTATTTTATAGAAGTTAAAAAGAGTATCCAAATACGGAAAAGTTAACGTGTTAAATTTAATAAGTTACTGGCGCTCCTGATCAATAGATGCAGATGTATCTACATATGTATGTATGTATGCCAGTACTTATGCATTTGTACACACATATACTTATGAATATGTTTGTAGATATTTATATGCCTGCAGCCGTCAGCAATATGACCTGCTCCACTTGTTGCGTTTACAACAACGTTACATTTACTTTTAGCACTTTAATGACGTCATTGAGATAATTTACTTACGTAAATGTGTAATTGAAGACACACATGCTGAAACATACATACATATGTACCTATAAACATTGGCTAGTCGTGCGTCATTAACTTTTTATATTTTTTTGAGATATACATACATATGTACATGTATACATATATACGACTTCAAAATGCTAATTGACGAGATATTACAAAAATTGTGAAGAAATTACTTACTAAAATATAGTGATTAGTCGCTTTGATTGCAATGATAATAAGTAATTTAGTTTTCAATAAGAAAATAATATTTTAATGCTTAGTTATTTAAAGTTCGTTATTTTTTAACTTTATTTATGTGCTTTGGTAGCAAAACAGCAACCATTATTCACGAATATGCTAGTAATTTCTATTCTAAACAATTTCTTAAATCGCATGCAACACTGGCGCTGACACTTGCATTGAATGCAAATATAGCAACAAATACAAATTTCATACGATATATACAAACACACAATTGTGAGAGATGCGCTATCGCGCTTTACATTAGTGCTATTAGACACAAGAAAGAGCGAGTGCGCATTATAACGCATGGCGAACGGCACCCAATAAATTTTACCAAAAGAAAAGTTAATTGGAATATTTTAACCAGTTCAACCAGAAATTGTTATAATTAGAAATTGTGAGCGTTGCGATTGTAAATTAATGTTTAGTAGAAAACAAATTTATTTCAATAGTTATTAATACTTTCTTCATATTTACTTTTGTATACATAGTTTAATTTTTCTTTACACTTACCACAATAGCCATACACATTTGCGTCCGCCTAAACAGATTGGACGTTTAATTTATAGAAATTTTTGTATTGAAGGCGCACCAGAAATGTTTTCAATTTAAGTCAATGAAATTATGCTTTATTGATACAAACGTACACTAGACACTTGCTAATACACAAACACTTGCCAAGACTACTAGTTAGCAAAATGCATTGGCAATAAATGGTTGATACCTTACTCTTTTTATCAAGAGTTTAAATGGAAACACAGCTGTTTAATTAACAAATTTTTCATCAGAAATTTTGCTTATTAGTCACTGAAGAAATAGCGCCGCTACACTCCAATGGGTACGTATATATAACCTCAATTTTCAACAGCAAATTGATACCAAAGATTTGCCACGAAATTCCTATAGCAGAATCGCTTTCAACAATAGGCGGTTTTAAACAAATTTATTTCACAAGTATTTATTGGTATATACTTAAAATTGCAGAAAATCTACAATTCAATGCACACAATTTAAAATAAACTTTCAACTTTACGGTAGCTCTAGAAACGCTTTTGAACAAACTCTTCTGAATTTTACCAAAGTACTAAATTGCAATCGCTATAACACGGAAGAAAAAGTCAAATTCTAAATTTATATCAAGAAAGTTACATCTAGTTTTGCATGTTAAAAAGAAACAACAACATATTTGCCATTGGAAAAATCTATTGTTTCATTTGCTCTAACAGAAAGCCGGTGTTGCTTTTGCTTTGGAAACACAGCCACGCAGCTGTTTTTGGACAGCTGCTAAGTTAAGCAGCATTGAACATACCAGAAGTGAAGTGAATTAGTAGGCATTGCCAGTTAAGGGAACAGTTTTTGAATGAGGTATTATTGAAATATACCAAATTGTTTATTTGAAGGAATACTAAATTTTTGGTGTTTTCATTAACATGTAGATATCGCAAGTAATATCTTACATTCGCTAAAAATGTATTTGTTACATTTATAAGCATGTAAATATAAAAGGTACTCAATAAATGTCATACTGTTAACCAAATGGAGAAGCGAACAGTAACCCAATAGAAAATTAACAGTAACATGTAGCTAACATATTTGCTGAATAGATAGAAAATTTCATAATATGGCAACGGTGTATATGATAACAGTTTTTTAGTGCAATAACAATTCTCAATGTAAATTTTACTGTAAAAGCATGGTATTCATTTTAACATACTGATTTTATTCTGAAACGTGTGACAGCTTTATAGTGCGTACAGTTACTTTATTAATAAAAATACGTATTTAATAATGTTCGCAACGGTTAAACATTTGCTAGCGCCAAAGCGTGTTGTATTAGCAAGCAGTTCTCCTCGGCGGCAGGAGCTTGTAAAGTCCATTGTGAGTTTAATCATTTTTATTTGAAGTCATTATAAGACTACCTGCTAATATCTACTTACCAGGGACTCAATATTGAGTTATGTCCATCTAACTTTGAAGAAAATTTGGACTATCATGATTTCAAGGAATTCGCTGGCTTTGTTGAAGCTACTGCTGATGGTAAAGCTGAAGAGGTATATCAACGCTTGCATGCCGCTGATCCTACAACAGATTTACTGGTTATAGGAGCAGACACAATGGTCACGTTAGGAGATGAAGTTTATGGCAAGCCTAAGGATGCTGCCGATGCTGTTCGCATGCTGACTAAGTAAGTGGTAGCAAAGCGAGTGCGCTGCATAAATAGAGACTTGACACAGTTTGCTTTAAATAAAAGTGATTCTGCGGCAAAATCAAAAATATATTATAAATAATAATCATAACAGCGATTCCAATGTTGTTGCAGTCTTTCAGGCAAATGCAATCGTACGCATACCGGTATTGCGCTGCGTCACAGTAAAGGCAGTCGACATTTTACAGAAACTACTGATGTGTACTTCGGTGAATTAAGCAAAGAACAAATTCAGGACTATGTTGATAGCGGCGAACCGCTGTAAGTATTTCAATTCGTATTTGAAATAACAAATCTTGTATTCAATAAAAATTTTCATCATTTCTGCAGCGATAAAGCGGGCGCCTATGGCATTCAAGGAATTGGTGGCTCCTTAATCGCTAAAATTGAAGGTGATTATTATTGTGTTATGGGCTTGCCATTACATCGTCTGTGCAAGGAAATATGTGCTTTGCTTGAGGAAACCGAAAATGGTTGCTCTGCCGAAAAGAAATCAAGAAAAGAGTGATATAGTGAATGACAGATAATGTAATATTTATTCTCAGCCGCAGATATTCAATTTTAATACAAAAGTCATAGAAGCTAAATTTACACAAGATCTCAGTGAATTATAATTTAAATGACAAAAATAATTAAAATGAGAATCTGTTAGAAAAATTATATTGGAAAAGTGCTTATTTTGAATTTGTTAAACAATGTACATACATATGTGGCTGATAGGAAGAAGAAGCCTAGTATATATGAGATGAGTTAATTAATCTAAGAAATGCGTTCACATAGCCACGATACCAGAGTACGATGATGGTATGCGAGTTGGTCTTACGCCAGAAAACGTTGCTGAAGTAATTTTGACGTATAGTGCCGAGTGTCGATAAAAATCGGTGTCGTTTCCGGTTACTTAGACTCGACTGTTGAGGGTGGGTATGTGAATTGTATTTACTTTTTGACATGTGAGCTTATTTCAATTTTGTTGAAAAAACAATTTTTTTTAATATATTTTTTTATGCAGATCAAACGAGCTTACGCCGGTTTACTGGTATTTTCTATTTATGAACTAAGTACATACATACATATTTACTTGAAAGCAATTATTCAAAAGCCCGCCATATCGGCCGTATCTGCTGTTCGGCTTTGTATTTGCAATTTGTTAGTGCTTTTATAATCCTCAAACATCAGTGCTGGAGTTAGATAATTTTTTCCTCTGCGAATGGCAGGCACCTTGTCGTGGTGCTGGGGCTTAAGTCGCAAGGCATACTCGGCACCTCCCAACCAGTATTAGCGGTGCTGCCTTGCACTGCTTAGGCTGGTTGTCAGATGCCCTATGCGTGTGGCAACCAAGATCTGCCACCTCCTAATCCAGGGTGTTATGCGACTTCCGTGCCCATTGGATGATTTGCAGCCAGGAGGTTAATTCGGCTGTATTCTAACGGAGCCTTCCCAACACCGGGCCGAATTGGGAAGTAACGGTGGCCTTACCGCGTCATGGGGCTCTGGCGCGACGGACCTTCGTGTTCCCCTATATAAATGTAGACCCGACCGTTCACCGCGTTGAGCCGAGGGTCGTAAGAACAAGATGATAAACAACAAAACAGCAAACACAACTTCAATAATAACTACGACAAGGCAAAGACCACAGCAGACGACAAAGGACAACGACAATGACAACAGTACCGGTGCAGATAAGGTGTGTTCAGGAGCTAAACCTATGTTTAGCTTCCTGGATGCCCTATCGCCAGAGGATCGTGCGTTATTTGAAGAGCATGTTAGGGAGGATGACGTCGACATGCCCCCCTGTAGTGGCGCTCAGCAGACGACATCCACTGCGGTGGCTGGAAATGTAACGAACACTACCATAGCTCCCTCAAACAGGCTCACCTGCCCGGATTCCGGAGAAGGACGTAGTCAAAGGAAGAAGAGGAAACGGAGAGCCAGACTACCGCCTCTACCACCAGCAGGTCATCCAGGTGGTTACGATGACCCTCGTAGGAGAGAAATGAGCGGTGCCTGCTTTAAATGGTACCTGAGGCACCTCCAGGATGGAAGAACTCCTGAGGAGGCCGAGCAGATGGCGCGTAACAGGATCAGAGACAGCGCCGCTTCAAAGGCGCGTAAAGCCAGAAATAACGCATTCGTTAACAAACGGAGAAGCGGGACTTGGATCCGCGATCCAGTCATTGCGGAAATCGAAAAGACGGCGCCTCCGAAGACACATACCATGAAACGCAAAAGCGAACACACAACGCCACAGGAGCCACCGAACACTAAACGACAGAAGGTTGATTATGTCCAGGTAGCTGAAGGTCTACTCTCCGCACCTAATCCTCCACGGGTGGCTGAGAGACAGCGTAGATGTCCGGATGCTTTAAAAGGTATATATATGGCTGTGCTGCCTTTGAATTACCCGGTGGAGACTATGGGGGCGGAGGAGCTTACCGCTCTACAAGATCTCCTCATGGAAGAAATATACAGGGGGTGTGGGTACCCAGTCTCCTTCCATGGGGTGCATTTTAAGGGCGGTATACTACAGGTGGATTGCAAGGACGAGAGGAGTGCTAATTGGCTACGGGAGATCACTCCCAAGCTAGAAGGCTGGAAGGGCCCTGTCCTATGCGCAAAGAGGGGAGAAGACATTCCGCCCATGCACAGCATGACGGTGTTCCTCCCCAGGTGTGCCGATAAGCCATTTGAATTTGCTCTAGGGCTCGTTAGGAACCAAAATGAGGGAATTAGTATCTCGGCCTGGCGAGTGGTATATAGCAAACTTGAGGATTCTGGATGGAGGCTGAATATCTGTATTGACGATGAGTCCTATAAATTCATTCGGAAGCAGGGCTTCCGCATAAACTACCGGTTCAGCTCGGTAGTTATGAGACCCTACAGGTCCAAGACTACTAAAGAGAGCGAAAGGGATGAAAAAATGCTGGTAAACGAGGATGCTACAGAAACGAAGGACGGCGTAGATAAGGACCAGTACCTCATAAAACAGATCCTATAGTCGTCACCGAAAGGTGCCCAGGTGAACCTGCATCACGCGGTGATAGCATCTGCTGCAGGTTTACATCGGATAACCTGGCCATTCTGTTGAGACAGGAGTGATGGGTCCGCAAAGAAGAGGTCAGGATCAACTTGTATAGTAGTTAAAAACAATATTGATTTCTTTTGTATTTTTAGAGTTCCTAACACAGGACCTGGTCTCTGTGCAGGCCAATGATAACGAAGGTGCAGACTTCGTCCTGGCAGCGGCCTAATTTCCGGGAGAAACATCATCTGCACCTAAAGAGGCTATGCGGGGTCTGATAGACTACTGCAGAAGAAATAGACCCCCCTCATTCTGGGTTGCGATGCAAACGCACGTCACACAAAATGGGGCAGCACGGACTGCAACACACAGGGTGAGTCTATTCATGAATTAATTATTAGTAATAGTCTAAGTATTAGGAATATGGACTGCGAACCTTCATTCGTTACTAGAAATAAAAGAGAAGTGCGGGACATCACCCTGAATACCAAATTCATAGTTGAACGAATCTCACAGTGGAGAGTGTCATCATGGGCTAAGGGTAGAGATCACGCAACTCCCCCCAAACGGATAACAAAGAAAAGCAATTGGGTCACCTATCGGAATACGTTAGAGGCGCAATGGCACTAAGTCAGGAGAGCAGACTGTTCGCTGATAACAAGAAGATTAGGTCTGCTAAACATTTAGCAGAATTTCAGAAATTTCTATGAGAACGTTTCCTCGACACCAGAGGCACGAAGGCTGCACAGTGCTCTGGCTAAAACTGATGCAGTACTAGCCTTTAAAAGATGTGACGGAACCTATACGACCAGTGCGAAAGAGAGAGCTAGCGTCATATCACATATTAGGGCGTGTGATTGATTATAAAATAGGTCCATATTTGGTTCGAATACCGACAAAGGTATCATAAACTTTTATATATAAATTTTTTTAATTTGGAATTTTTTGTGATTTATTTCTATATTATTTTATTAGTTACGAAGCTCTTCATAAATGTATTTTGATCCAGCTATGTCCTTATCTAATTCAACTCTTTTGATTTTTCAAACAATGCCGCTGTTTTTAGAGAGTCAACTGTCGAAGAATTAAAGTTGGTGGAAAGTTAATGAAATCATACTCCTTCCGTAACATTCAGCAGCTGAGTTCAGCTCGTCGGTTTTACTTCTTTGAAGAAAGAAAAGGTTAAAATCGCTTTCATTTCTTCTGCCCCTTACCATAAATCAAGGGTAATGTTTGTCAAAGTTTATATGAATGAGTTTTCGATTAAGATTTTGGAGGAATATCGAAAAGCTACGGAACTATTTCATCAAATATTTTGCCAGCGTCTTTAAAACATCAAATCTTTAAGAATCAAGATTAAAGAAAATGAAAAATGCAATCACAAGTTTGCTTGGAATTTCGCGTTTCCGATGGAGCCGCAGCAACGTGTCATTGAAAATGTTTCAGAAGTGTTTTGTGCAGTCTACTTTACCGGGAATGCAATTATGTTACGTTTATTTGAGAGGCTCAAAGTATACAGTAAAGATCGAGAAGTAATTGAAAACTTGCCTGATGCTATTCGTCGATCCACCTCTATTAATGAAGGTCACATCGAAAAAGTTGAAGGCACAGTGCTTGAAAACCGTTAAGGTTTCAGATTTCAGCGGATCTCAACTCTTCCTATGGATCGACTTAAGTTATTTCGTTTTATGCCCGAAACGTGTTAACGCTAGATACTTATAAAGAGATCCGAATCTTTTGCAAAAACATTTTACGTCGGGGAAACAACATGCTTGACACGTAGCTGAAGATCCTACATTCATCAAACGGATCATTACCGATGATGAGACATTGTTTTAAAAATATGAGATCGAAACTGTCCAACAATCTAACGAATGGCGTGTCAAAAATGAGCCAAAACCTAAAGAAAAACAAAATTCACTGAAGGCACCGAAGGCACTTAAGGCCATCCCAGCCAAAGCTCATACATAGCAAGTGTGTGGAAAAGAGGATAAAACATTCACATTCCTGAGTTGAATCAAAAGATGCCTATTTTAAGGGCAACATTAAATATTTATATTAAAATACCTGAAAATGTATTTTATTTTTGAGTCCAGCTCAAATTTGATCAAACAGTATATGAAAATAAAAAGTGAAACAGACAACGTGAATAAACTGAAAATACGATTATTAATATTATATTGCACAGTACTTTACTTGAAAGTTGATAACGAGTTGAGTTTTATAGGGTGCATTCACTTAACTATTTCTCATCAGCGAGAGGTGTGTCCTCTAGTGGATGTTATGATTTGATAAGTGTTTAATGAAATCTAAACTGAAAAATCTTTTTGTAGTGTCGTAACGGTTAAATAAACAGTTACGCATTCACTCACATAAACATATACAAGCCCATGTGGGCTCTGTCGTGTATATTTATCGCCTCCAACATCATGGCAACAACTTAGTTGCAAGATAGTGGCGTCGCTGCAGCCGATTTTTGAGTGTTTCCATTAAATACTATACATGCATACATACATATAAGTTTATTGCTTAAYAAAGTATAAATAAAGGTAATAAAACCCAAGGTTATCACATGTTATTATTAAATACATTTWTTTATTTTAATTTTGGCAAATTAGAAAAAAGCTTTTAAGATTCGTCTAAGAAAAGCACAACAATTTCGAATTGGTATGAATTTGAAAATATTAAAATATTGGTTATTTGTGTGTGATTTTGGAACATATCTATAAATCTGTTGTTTCTTCTTTTTCTCCCTTTCTTAAGGAGCTTAAACCTCGTAGCTTAAATATGAAATAAGGGAATATGAAGAGCGAATCCAGATTTTCCAATCTACCTAGTTGGATTTTACCACCTTCCCTTCAGCTCTTAGATTCTGTAATGTTTTCGATTGAAACTATTGGACAATTTGACTGAGGAATAAAGACTTCATCTTCAACTTAGTTCCACATTTCTGGAAGTTTTGCCGAACTTCTTGTATTTCAAAGGCATTCAACACTTTTATAATTCTTTTTTTTTTTTTAAACCCAGAACAGGATATATTAAGTTTACCACGAAGTTTAGCACACCTAGAGGGAAAAGTTGAAGACTCCATAAGCTCTATATATGTTTGATCAGCTTGGCGAGCTTAATCTAGCCATGACGGTCTGTCTGTCTGTATATGCACGAACTAATCCCTCCGTTTTGGAGATATCAATCAGAAATTTTCCTACTTTTTCTTCCCAAGAAGATTTTCCTTTGTCGGAAAAATTTGTTATTTGAAACAATTTCTTTACGAAGATGATCCATAATGTCCAAGCCAACACTCCAACACATAGTTGTGATCGACTCACTAACGCAGACAGCTTCTAAGTCTAAGGAATTCTTTGATTTTAATAGAAACTTCATGAGAAAGCTGAGCTCCTTAGTCTCATTTAAATACTCATCACGTAGCCAAAACAATGCCACCGAACATCGATTGGAGATCCCGAAAGTTTTCTGAGGTTTCGGTTGTTTCTTGGCACACAAAGCATAATTTGAATGTGATAAATTTTAGGTTCATTCAAGTTCACATTATTCAGAAACCTACCGTTAACTGCCTAATTTTTTATATTCATTCAGCGAACCAAGAGACAGCGGCTATGCAGCCTAGATCATGTTATGTGAATGGATAAAAACACACCTCCACTACGGGGGACAGATCAGATGTAGAAAGATCTGTCCTTCGACATTTTCAATTGGGGTCAAACATTAAAAAAGAAACGACTGGGGCACTGTTTTTCGTCGTCTTCTGTTTTTGTACTACAACTCTTCGTCGGTCTGAGCCGTGAACACTAAACATCACATAGTTAACCGCATGGAAATCCAACGAAAACGCTGGTTAGGCCATAACCTTAACTATATCCATGTCGCCGTAGACCTCATACAGTTCGTGGTTCCATCTTTTCGACATTCATCCAAGGATCTTGTTTTTCATCTTGATACGTCATCGCCCATATTGTTGCGCCGTATTTTAGGAAGATAATGATGGAGGACCCCCGGAACGTAGTTTTTGTCTGTTTCACCCTTGCCTACTGGTTCCAAAGCTGCCGGCTCAGATTAGCAGCGCATAAACTCTTAGGTATCCTTCCTGATTTTGACAAAAATGTATGGTTATGTTAAACGTCATTAAGCGGAACTGTTTGTCTTTCGTATCAAAGACCTGGCGTCGGTTGGGCTGCTACTGTCAGTGCTGTCGTAACCGGTTTTGAAACCGACGAAAAAGTGATGGGTACCAGTTTGTTTCCCGATAGTCTTCTCCAGCATTTTACGTATTGTTAAAGTGATCGTGTGATCTAAAGTCACACTGATAAAGCTCAAAAAGTTTATTTACAATGCAATTACTATAAGCCAGGTATTATCAGGTGGCTCTATACCATGAACACTTGATCTAGTCTTGTGATCAAACAGGTACCTAAACATACGATACTACGTATGGCAGTAGTGGGTTTGACAAAGGGAAGATAAGGTCGCCTCAACAAATGAGTTCCTTAGTGGAAGATACACCACAGACCCATTTCCAAGGGAATTATGGAGAGGGTAAACTTTACAAAAAAGTTTACTCTCGGCAGTAATGAGGAGTGGAAATATTAGACGCTGGCACTTCTACTGAGGATAAATCCAACTCCATCGCAACCAACAACATTTTCCGAGCCTCTTTCAAGCATAAGTCTTTGCTACAAGTCAGTGTGGAGAAATCCAACAACATCGCAACCGGCACTAAAAGCGATATAAGCTCATGAAGTCAAATCGGTATTAATGGAGGAATGTATAGGACAGCTTAACCGCCTATCAGTTTGCAACCGTATACACCTGATCTGTTTGCCGGGGCATAAAAGGTTAGCAATGAGCTGGCAGACGAACTAGCCCACTATGCGGCAGCTTCAGGATGATGAAGCGAGAACCGTGCTTTGCGGTGGGGCCCAACATCATAAAGCAGTTGCTTCGCATAGTGGAATGAGTGGGGGGAGAACGGTACTGGCAGCAGGCAGCAGTCATGCACCACGTCAAGCTACTACGGAGAGGATACAACTTTGCAAGGTTTCGGGATATGATCAACCTCCTCCGAGACATATTCCGTCGCCTCGTCACGCTCTATACAGGCCACTGCAGGCTCAGAAAACAATTGTCAAACATGGGCATAGTCTCTTGCGCAAACTGCAGGTTCTGAGATATGGAACAGGCAACTCCAGAACTACTGATTCTAGATTGCCTAGCATATTGCAGAAGCAGGTTCAAAGCCCTATGTTCAATTTACGTGGACAGAGATCATGTCACCTCAGAATTAGTCAGCAAGTCAGTTCCATGATAAACAGACATCATTTTGAGAGGGATATCAATTTTTTGGATCGAAGTACTCAGCGGATATATAATTCCGAACGAGAATTTTAGAATTGGACCGAAGCAATTTATGTGCGAACCGACAATCTATATACAAATATTTGAAGTTAAATGATGCTCGCAGCATCTAAGCATCTGCAAACCGGTTGATGCTATTTTCATTTTGCGTGTTGTTATAATTGCTGAGATTTGAAGCGTAAATCGGAATAAAATATATGTAATAATGAGTGCTAAAGTATTCGAAATCAATTGAGCATTAAAATTTAGACTTCCAATTAGCAAAGCTTTTCATCTAACAACCTACGCAAATACACTTGCTATCAGCTGAATAAGAAACGCAAGTGCGGCAATAATCATTTTAGAGTGTAGATAAGGCGAGTATCTCGCTGACTTTTTTACCACAACAAGCAAAAAGCAAACAAGTCGGACAGTTGTGTTCTAAATTTTAAACCGTACAGAACGTCGGCATATGCGAACGCGTTTTATTTACGCACATACTGTGAGACAAATCGCGAACTCCTAACACACACATAGACTGCACAATGGCCCAACAATTGTGGGGAGGCCGTTTCGGTGATGCGGAGGGCAAAACGAATGAATGCTTAGCCAAATTGAATTGCAGTCTACCGCTGGATTCGCGTTTCTATGCCGAGGATATCGATGGCAGTATTGCCTACGCTGAAGCTTTGGCGCGTTCCGGTTTAATTACCGATAAAGATGCTGCTGATATTGGTGCTGCGCTGGAAGTGGTGCGTCGCGAATGGCGGGACGGTAGTATTAAGTTTCTCAGCAGCGATGAGGATGTACACACCGTGAATGAACGTCGTCTCACCGAACTGATTGGTGATGTCGGCAAGCGCCTGCACACCGGACGTAGTCGTAATGATCAAGTGATCACCGATATGAAATTGTGGTTGCGTCGTGGCATAGGCGAAATCTTGACCGGTTTGCGTGCGGTCATCGAGGCGTCTGTGGCGCAGGCGAAGCAGAATTTGGGTACACTCATGCCGGGCTATACGCACTTGCAACGCGCACAGCCCGTTCAGTTCTCACATTGGATGCTCTCGCATGCGTTTGCGTTGCAAGCGGACTGTCAGCGTTTGTTGGAGTTGAAAGAGCGCGCCAATCTATTGCCCTTGGGTAGTGGCGCTTTGGCGGGCAATCCACTGGGTGTTGATCGTGAATGGCTGGCGAAGCGTCTGAATTTTTCCGGTGTCACACCAAACAGCATGCATGCGGTGGGTGATCGTGATTTTGTCGGTAAGTGGGTATAAGGGGGACAAATACTTTTTTTTCGCTGTTGAAGCGTTGTCTTCTTATGTTGCTTGATCCAAAATACTCTTAACTTTTTAATCATAAGATCGTGTGCTCATATGACTCGCCCAGCGGCATGTAGTTCCGTAGTATATTGTTTGTGTATATTTGATTACGTCACACAGTTGCAAGGCGATAAGCGCAACATTCATACGTATAATACAGTTCTAAAGTAATCGACGCTTTAGTTACTTGTTCGAATGTTTTGAATAATGATTTCTTTTTATTAAAGCTGAACACAATGTGTTATAAAATCAGCACGAATCAAGTTCAGGCTGGAAGAAGTATATAATAATCGGTTCTAAAACAGACCGCAGTACAGAGCGTTGTATTGAGTTTGTTTACAGGTGTGCTTATCACAAGACTGTCATAACTGCAAAGATGCGATTTTTGTCCACTTCCAGCCACAATTGGAGCCCTATATCAGCAAAAACGTATTAAATATTATCTTCCAAGACGTCAAGCTCACAAAAAAAAAAAAAATTGTCCAGC